TAAAGATGGTGATATACTGCTCACTCTGCCAGCAGAAACCCCATGACAACTGATACTGCCCTAATCTCCAGTGGGAACAGGTGAGTTGAAGCATATCAGGTGTTCTTCCACCTAAACATTCAGCTGCGGTGAGTTACCTGGAGCAGGGTGGTAACAGCAGAGCAGAGTCGCTACCTTGTCTTTGTATAATAAACCTGCAGGGGTACTACAGAGAAAAATGCCTGACACACTTGCCTCATTTCACAAGAAACTTGCACACAGAAGTCCTGGCTTGACTTCGGCAGCATCTGCTTGCACATATGCATGTGCTGACCAAGCATGGCAGTACAGAGTTGTATAAAGCTTCCTCTGACTTGGCTGCAGGATTGTACCACATGCAAACAAAGAAGCCCTATGCATATTATGGAAGCCAGTCCTGTGGAAAATTAATTTCAGGAATGACTGAGGCGGCACTGGCACATTCAATTGGATCTGTTTCCAAAAAGACCTTCAGCCATTGCAGCCAGGTGCATTAGTTTTCATGAGGACGAGTGCATAGAGTGCTGTGAGTGTCATCCATGTCACATAGAATTCTTTTCCTGAACCCACACCTAGCACATTTTTGAAGTCTTTTTTCAATCTGCTCTTCCTGGTTGGACACAGCTGCAGGTTCCTCACAGTGCTGGGCACAGCCCCTTGCAGAAGGGACTCTGCTCCCCTCTTCAGCTTCTGCAACAGCACTGAAAATGTGCCCAGCAGGAAAGCTGGAATGAGCCTGGCAATGACTTCCCTTGGCTTTCTTGCTAGGGTAAATTTCCAACTGAAATTCCAAATCTGGCAAGAAAAGGAGGAACCATTTTCCTGGAAGTCCCCTGTTGGTAGTGAGGAGAGCGGATGTGGGGAGCCTCAGAACAGATGGCAATATGAGACAGAGGTAGGTATAGTGGTAAAAAATGGCAATACACAGATTTAGCAAAATATGCCACACCACAACACGTGACATATGTATGTAGTTTGCCATGGGGAGCAAGCACAACACTAGGTGCTGCCTCACCTACGTGAGTGATGAGGTCTTTGTTCCCATGGAAGAGCATGTTTTTCCTTCAAGAAAGGCAGCACAGGTGATAGCAGTCTTTGCGGAATCGGAATATGAAAAGAGCCTCAACTTTACAGTTTGAGGTGGGGAAAAGACTGGAAACACAATAGTTCTCATGTATCTACGCTGATACTCACAGATATCTGCACTGTTCCATGATGGGGGGTGAGAGCTGATGTTGATGCAAAGAGCAAAATCTCCAGACAATGCAAAAAAATACAGTAAGGGAACCACTTGGGGAAGAATCTACAGTGTTGAACACCTTTGCTGTTTGTGGCCCACAGACGGCTCTCGCTGTCTTTGAACTCCTCCAGAGATGGCTTTTTAATGTGTTAGATCAGAGGTTTGTTTTTTATCTTTGCAGCAAGAACGCTTCAGGTATGGAAAAATGTGTTCTTGGGGGCATCTGCTGAGGTCCCATCTCTGGAGATTTTTGAGGCACGGTAGATAAAGCAACTTCAGTGAATATTCAGTAGGGAAAATCCTGCTGATTATACAGAGCATTGTGGGATGAACTGCCAGGGCTTTTATTGTCTGTGACTCCATGACTATGTGTAAGGAAGCGAGTTCTTACACAAAAGCCGTTCCTGGCTTTATTTACGCCAAGGCTGCATTCCAGGAAAGGGATATCCATCATGTCAGAGACAAATGCAAACACAGAGCTTTCTCTCTTGCTCTCTCTTCCCTTTTGGACTGTCCTTTTCATCTGACAGGGAGTCTGTGCTGCTCTGCGTATACTCTGCCACTTGATTTGCTTGAGACTCTCCAGAGGCAAAGAAACGCTGAGGGCAAGATCTCCTTAATATAGCAACACGTCTGTTTTCTGGGAAATGATGGCTTGGCTAGAAGAGATGGTCAGGAGGGAAGGGCAGGCCAGGCTGCAGGGAGCCAGGGGAGGTGTTGGCTGTGGGGGCTGCTGGTGGGGATGGCAGGACACTGCAGGGGCTGCAGCATCACAGCAAAGCAGGTAAGTGTCCAGAGGTGGCCATTGCAGCAGGACCAGCATTTGGGGACCGGTGGCTCGTGGAAAGAGACCTGCAGAAATGCAGGAGTTTGGCCACAGTAAGGGGCGTGTGATTTGCAGAGGGCCCTAGTGATGCTCCATCATGCTGAGCACATGAGGTTTTTTTTCTCCCTGTGTTATGTGTGTGTGAACAAAGCTGGCTGCGGGGCTTTTCTGGCAGTAGCAAGAGAAGCTTCTCAAAGCTGCAGGAAGCTCTAGCAAGCTTGAATTGGCCCAAAACATGCCTGTACCCCAGCATAGAGGATCTAACACCTGGTACCAGCCATTGCTTGCTGCTGGCTGAAAAACCAATGTGCAGCTGCACAGACAAAGATGTCCCTGAGGTGGCAGAAGGGCAGCCCTGTGCACAGCCTGCCTGCAAATGCAGCTTTGCCAAGCTGCTCCTGCACCCAGGACGTGCCCGTCCTGCTAACAGACCAGGCCCTGTGGCTTTGAGGTTGGGACAAAGAGAGGGTGAGTCCAAATCCACATACACATCACTGTCTGCCTGTTTAATTAAAGATCAGGTGCAGAGCTCCACCATCTTCAGCAGGGAGATCTCAGTCTGACAGCCCCTTTATGAGGCACACAGACCATCCTGAAATAGAAGCCAAGAGGGGAGGGGGAACTGGCAGTGGACCCGCAGGTGCTGCAGCAGTCACCGCATGGTGTGGCGGCGGTACCTCAGGAAGGGTTAACAGTGCTGCAGCTCCCTGCCATGTAGCAGCTGGGCCCTGCTCTGCCAGCTGGCTGCCCGCCCTGCCCGGGGTGCCCAGAGTGAGCCCTGAGTGGTCACCATGCCTGAGCAAGGCCAAAAAATACACGGCGCTAGGAGGTCGTGCAATGGAGCTGCTTTCATCCACTTCCCCAGACCGTAGCAGAGATCCTCAGAGATCACCTGGCCTTGTGGAACTCACCCGCACTCCCTTGATGCTCCGAGTGCTGCCAGACGCATCACACAGGTGAGAGGCCCTTCAGGGCTCTTTCCTTGTAGAGAAAAGTGCTACTGTGCCTCTTTTCTGTGTGTGGCTCCAAACGGCCTGAGAACAGCACAGCTGGGCAACTCAGAATCCCTCTTGGGAAATGTTGTGCTGTGTAAAGCATCATTTGAATTTTTCATCTGGTGTGCCTTAGCTCACGTGGCTGCAGGCTGACACCAAGGATGCCAATGAAGGGCTGTGATGCTGTGTGGCATGCAGGCATAGCCCACACAGAGATGGATGGAAGAAACCCTGACATGGATCCAAGTGGAAGCGATCGCTCCTGAAGTTCAGCCCAGATAAGGCTTTTCTATTCCAGCCATAAAAGGAGCAGGCCAGATCTTTTCTCTGACTGCCTGGGGAAGGGTGGCACGGTTTAAGACCCCAGAGAAAACAGGTGCAAGCTCAGTTTTCTATCTCTGCTGACAGACAGCACTAGTTAGGGGTCACTGCAATCCCACAGCATTCTCCTCTGCCACGTGAGACGTGTCAGGGTCTATGTAGGCCTCCAGATGGGAATGTGCTGGTAAACCAGCGTCATTGCTGACAGCCCTGACAAGCCTTGCTCACATCCAACCATCTCCAACTGCGCTGGGCTCCTTCCCCTGCAGCACATCCAAGCTGTGAGCTTGCAAACTGCTCCCTACGTTCTGCCCACCAACCTCCAGCCGCCAGAGTGCATGCGCAGCTTCCCACTGCTGATGGGAGTGGGCAGCCACACTGATGCTTGTGGCAATGGCCATAAATTCATGTTAAGAGTCTGTGAGTAATGGCATTGCTGTATAAGGCAGACTCCTGAAAAGCTTGTTTTCAAATGCTCAGCAGCAGGATTAGGAGGTTGCTGGCTCTTAGCGGTGAGCCTTGCAGATGTTAGGGGCTGGCAAAGCAAAATCTGTAGCACATGAAAAAGTTGATCAGGTCTGACTCCCTCCTGCCGTGAGATTACTTTTCTCACTACAAAGCGTTTCTCCTCGCCAGTAAGTTCAAAGTCCGTATGGGCATGAAGATAGCGCATTGTTCGACGACGCGCTGTTCTGCTGAGCAGCCGCCTCGCTTATTCTCTGTCTCAGGTTATAAACAGCACTGAGAAGCTGCAAAATTGCTCACAGCTTAAACTACAAAATCATGATAACCCAGCCTATCTCACCCTACTGCGAGCTCTGCTTTAATATTCCTACTTAATCATTAAACCACAATAAGAGTAAGCCAAGGAGTATAAGGAAAGAGCCAAGCCAAGGCATATCAGAGTACTGCTCGGAATCTGAACCGAACTCCACTGGCTCCAGACAGAGGGAGGCCTATCAGGGAATAGCAAAGCTGTTGTGTGACAGATCGGAAAGCTGTGCCACAAAATCTGTCTCTGTTGGGTCTGGTGGAAGGAGGCAGAGCCAGCTGTGAGCTGCTCCTGCTGATGTCGGTGTGCAGTGTGCCCTATATACGTCCCCTCCCCAGGAGAGCAGCTTGTTATCTAGCACACACACTCCATCTGAGCTGCACTGTTGACATAGATGCTTAAGGTTATTACCGAGTATAGCAGTGGGTGCTGTTTTGTTGTGTGGGTTTTGTTGTTTCTTTTTTTTTTTTTTTTCTCCCCAGAATGCTTTACCCTTTACAAAGGGCTACAAAGAAAGCAATCCATCCACCTACTCATTGACCACCTTGCTACACGTTGTTTTACAGCAAACTGATCTTTTCTAAAGACATTTCTCACAAAGGTGGTGCTAAAAAAAAAAAAAAAAAGGAAAAGCAGGAAGGCAACAAGAAATACGACTTGAAGAAGCACCCACCACCAGCCACCCACCTGGTGACACTGAGAACTGGTCCCATGGGCATACATCAGGTTCCCACTGATTCTGGCAAGATTCTCCATGTGTGCATGACAGACAGAACAGATTCGGTCCTCATTGCTTTGACTTTTCCAGGATGCTCAATTTATTTGTGCATTTCAGGAAACAGGACAGTACAGTCAGATGTCCTGTACCTAGTTTCCCATCTCCCCCCAAAACAAAAATAGCTGTAGTCTGAAAGCACCACCCATTCCAGAAGTTGACAGAGCCAAAGCCTTCCCAAGGCAAAGGACCAATGAATTGCCGGTGTCACCTGAATGAGGAGTGACTGAAGAACCTCACCATCTGTGCAAATTTGGCCAAAAAGACGAGTCAAGTCATTATTTCCAGACCAATATAAGAGTTTGGATGGGGGAATGCTCTCACCTCAGCTTTCTTGAAAGCAGGAGTGGATGGTATTGGTGTTGATGAGACGATTCCAGGATCTTAGTTACTATGCAGAGAAAAGACCCATTTTTTATAGAAATGGGGCACATATTGCCTTGTCTCATTACCATGTCTTGTAGGACTTGCCTGCAGCATGGAAGCTTCCTGATATAGCTGTACAGTGCATTGTGTTGCTGTTACTGTAGTAACTTATTACTTGCACACCTTGTGTTGGCTTTATTGCTGCAGTACCTGACACAAATACTCCAGACTGCCCACACATGCCATCACTACTGCCTTACTCCCCAAACTAGTTTACTGCAGCGTCCTGTTGTGTCTTATTGCTGCATTACCAAAATGCTACTTTACTGCAGTGGCCTGTGTTACCTTATTGCTACATTTATCCTGGTATTATTATGTCAGCTTACTGTGGCTTTTTATGCCCTGCTACCATTTTATTACAGTACTCTATGGGATTTTAGCACTGAGTTATACATACATAGAATGTATTAATCCATTTGCCTTAGCCTAACATTGCCCTGACCTGTCAAAACCTCCTCGTGCTTGTCCTGGTGCTGGCCCACTATGATGGTCATTAATGCTTTGGATATTCCATTATCCAAATAATAGTGTACAGCTGTATTTCACAGCTATAGCCCTGCAGGTATGGGATGCCTGGTGGCTAGCTCTCACAGCATGGAGATTGTAAAAGCTTTCCAAGCCTGCTTTTCATTGAAACAATGCCATTGAGAACATAAGGAGAGGTGAAAAACTGATTTCCTAACTCATCTTCTGGGCGATGAGGTAGCTGGAAGACATGGATGCTTATAAAGCAGCAGATTACTGCTTGCAGCACTCAGTGGGTGGTGCTCACTGGCGAGTGCGCAAGAGAAGCATCACTTGCAATAAGTGATGTCATTAAACAGCAGTAATTCAAGGATGCAGGTTGCATGGAAATACTTACACGTTAGCATTGTCATATGTGAAGTAAAAGACATATGAACAGCCATTTGTATGTGCTCCCAGGAGGAGACCCTGTCTGATCTCATGATGTTTGTCTCAAGAAATTTGGGCAGGAAGCTAGGAGGGGAGCTCTCCCCTCTACAGAGCATACGCAGCTCCATCCGCTCGGCTTGCCGCTGCTGAGCAGATTAGCTGTGCCAGTGTGCATTTAGATAGCAAGCTGTTCAGCATCCAGGCCCCCTGATGTATGCCCATATGCATACTCACTGTCCGCAGTTCCCCCATGCTCTTGGCTGTTCAAACCCAGCAAATTATCTACAGGCAGCACACAGCACGTTCTTAGGGGTGGCACAGGGGGACACGTTTGAACGTGCATGGCTGGACAACTGGGACTGTTGCACAAAGACTTACTACTACCAGAGGGGAGCCTTTGGCTGGATGGTCAGCATGGAATGGACAGGTCCTGCTGAGATGGTTTAGTGAAAATCAGCAAAGACCCGAATGTCTCCATGAGAGGCAAAATGTTACCTGTATGTACGTGCACAGCCATGATGATTCTGCAGTCCTGGAGCTCTCATTTGCCATGTATTGCCATGTATGTAGGAGGAATTTGGTCTGAAGATCCCAGTTAATAGGCATATTATAGGAACTAGGTAAGTGTAAACAACAAATACCGTACTCAGTACTCTACTGTATAGTCATGCAGGTGTAGAGTCCTATAGACCTTATGTAAAATTGATATCAAGAGCTGTCTGGGAAAAATAATTGAGGTATCAAAATGAGAAAATTCATGGGTAAAGAGGGAAAATTCTTTTACTGGTGGAAACTATGCTGGCCTGATTTTATGCATACATTAGCCTCAGATATTAGGATAATATTTGCCACAGAAATAAATATGGTTGGTAGCCAGCTGTCTACTTAGCAAGATAGATAATTTTGCCTAGATAGGAATGCAGACATGTACCCATATAGCAATTTCTACCACCTGCACACACACACACACACACACACACACAAAACAAAAAACAAAAAACAAAACAAAACAAAAACCAAACCAGCTTGGCTTGGCATAAGGGAAGAAGACCAAGTGTCTATTTTCACATACACTTCAGATCTGAACTGCTTAAAAACTACAGGTTTCGTGGTACTAAGTCAATTGAAATTGAAAATTTTGTATATAGGCAGTATACTGTATGTGAATGCAATCCATTTTACATATCTGCAGCTAGTATAATGTGAGTTTTGTCATTAACCAAGTCACTTCAGGTCCGTCTTCATCCTAACCTCTGTAATACCCACGTTCCGAAACAAACTATTGGGTCATCTCTTGCATTTGTATTCATGGGCTCTACATCAGGTGAAACACAGGCACCCAAGCATCTGCACAGCCACAAACTTCTTCTGACAAGCCTTTCTCCATCAGATCTCTCCTTGCTGCAGACTGAATTTTGCTCTCCATTACACATGCCTACAGCAGAGTTACTTTCCCCTGTATACGCATGAACAGATTTTGGCCCACTGTAATCAGGGCTAAATTTCCTCTAAGTGGTTCAGTTCTACCTACTTGGAATAAAACTTGAACATCCATCATTAAGTAAGTATGCAAAACCTCAAATAAATAGAAAACCAAATACAATAGAAAACAACTCACTTTTAAATACCGCATGTGTGTGTCTGTGTGTTTGTGCATATGTGCGTCATACATCTAAAACACAACTACGTCAGGCAGTCTTGCACTAAACGTACATGCAGAGCAACCCCGCCGATGTCGGAGGATGTGCACCAAGATCAATCTGACGCAGTGGGGCAGATCCTCAGGTGATGTAAGCCACTCAAAGTCTCCTGCCTTTGGACGAGGATCTGACCATCGTCTTTGGACATGCTACATGCCATTGGAAGGACAGCGAGTGACAAACTTAATGAGGGCCATTTTTTCCTGATATTTTAAAGGAGGAGAGACATAGGAAATTAAAAACAAAGCTAAAGTCAATGGATCTGCAGGAGAGATGCATTTGATACTTTGTGGAAAGGAGCAGCAGCTTCCAGCAGATATTTTATTGGATCCAGATGGCCACAGGAAAAGGAGCAAATGGGATTGCAGTGGCATCTTTTATAGCAGTGTCTGTGCTAGGAAGAGAAGAGGTGAAGCAAAACCACCGATCTCTCTCAGTTCCTCTTTCTCCAAGCAGTGGTGAAGTCTGTTTCCTCAAATAACAACACACCAAGCCATTGTCTTGCTTCCTGTGTACTGTGGCTTGTGCTCCTACAAACCCAAGCAGGAATCCAAGTCCCCATGCAGAGCTCAGTGTCACTACGAAGCTGTGCAGATAAAGTGTTGATGTAATTGGTGACAGGCGGGCTGTCCCTCGCTGAGCTGCTCTCTGCTCCTGCTGTCCTCCGTGGCACCCTGCCCTCCCTGGTGAGGTGGCAGACTGGTGGGGTGACTGTCAGGAGGACTGCATCAGGCCCGTCAGGCGCTTGCTGGCCAGAGACTTTCCCTGGAGGAAGGCAGAGACAAACAGACAGACAGGAGACCCACAGTGTGAGTGAAGCAGCTGCCACGAGATGGGGACTGTTGGACAGTTTGGTGAGGGTTTTTCAGTTACCTGCAATTTTACCCCTGGATTTTGCAAGGTGAGTTGTGGCTAACTGGCCTCAGTCACTGCTTGTCCACCCCTGCAGACAACACTTGTCCCTGGTCTCAACCCAGATATTGAACTGTTGACTGCAACTCTTTGAATGTGACCATCCAGCCAATTCCAACTAGAGAAGTTGTTTGATCATCTTGCAACAAATTCAGAGTGCAAAGGGAAGGAAAATCAGAACTGGCATGGAGTTTATACCCACAAGGTACGGAAAATCAGTAGCTTAGGGTGGTAATTCACCCCAATTACTCTTAAAAACCAGGTGGCCACATCCAAATCACCTACTGAGAATAGCCCTGTGTTCGTGACTCCTGTTCTCAGACTCTTAAGTGTGCCGTTTGGTCCGGGCCAAACCTCTGCCACGGATCATACGAGCAGTTTGAACAGATCCGGGTCTGTTCTCTAGATCAACACATTAACATTCCAAGAAAAAAGGACCCGTCAGCCTCTTTGTTTCCTCATCTCTTCCCATTCAGGACTACAGCAGATGGATGCAGTAGCTATCTGCAGAAGCCTGATGTTACCACTCAAACGTGCAGCCTTTATCAAGCAATTTGCTGGGCTGACCACATGACCACACTCTGCTGTGACAAACAGTGCTGTTGCTTGGACCATCCCTCCTGGGATGGAAGTGCCACCACCACCATTTTGCAGGCTCTCTCCTGGGGCCCAGCTGCTGTATGGCACTGCTGCTGCTTAAGATAAGCCTATTTTCTTTCACTGTAAATCAAATTCTCATTTTTGAACAAACTCCTGGGGAGCTTGGGCCAGTGCAATCCCAGGAGGTGGTAAGTCCTCTGCAGGAGCTGCAGGCATGGTCAGCACACACTGCTATTGTGAACACCAGTGAAAGGGTGCTGAGGAAGCACTGATTCTTAAGCCCAATTTGAAGGAAAAGAAGGTAAACATCCAGATGTTAACTTCTGGAGCCATAACATGGCTGGTTTTAGGAAAAAAAAAAATATTTATACCTGTATTTGGATAGCTCCTTAGGAAAAAAACCAATGAATACTCATTGGGTTTTTATAATGGCCCTAGATAATGGCAGCCAGTCAGCTTCTCTGTTATCTTCTCTGTGGCAGGCAGCTGGGGACACGCCAGCTCCCGCCTCAGCATCTTGTTTGGCAGTGCAAGATGCTGCAGCACTCCCTCACAGCTTCCTTTGGCACTGTGGACGTAGCTCCTGGCTCTGCAGTGGGCTCGATGCTGTGGGTCTGGCCCAGTCTTGGCTGGCACAGCAGCAGCAAGATGGGTAGAAAAAGAAGCCAGCACACATGGATTAACACTGAGAGAGCTTTAGAATACATACTGCACTGCTTTGGTTCCTCAGTGGTCTCCAGCCACACACACATTTGTTCTAACCCAAGGATCAGCCTCACTTTTGGGGCCTGAATGGGGTGAGCACCTGCAGGCTGAATGTTACTGGTTTGTGGGCACCTGATTTGGGATTTTTCTTCTCAAAGATATAGCAACTGGTCCCTCTTATTTCTGCTTCTTTTTAATCTTCCCATGCTTCTGTAGCACGAGGTTCAGAAGGAGACACAGCACATTTGGGAATGCTATACTTAGCTTTCCACCAGACAGATACAACATAAACCCCAGCTCGTGCGACATGCTTCAGCATCCCTGGAAAGAAGCGCCCCTGCAGTGGGGTGGCCAGCTGAGAAGCGAGGCTGGCCCACATCGCCTCAGATGGCCGGGGTAAGACACATACCTGTATCTTGGGTATCTACAGCATAGCTGGGTGCAAAGTATGCCAGAGAACTTCAAGGGTCCTTTCGGGTCTGATCTGGCGTTGGGTCAGGATTCTCTTAGTGAGATCACTGACAGGTAGATGAAGTTTTAGGTCATTACAAAAGACCTCACATTTTCTTTAAACGGGCTCAGCCAAGATAAATGATTTTTTTCCTTCCACTGTCTTTGCTTAGCAGGAAGCCAGCTCCTGGCCCACATTTCTAGCTCTCCTTTCCCCAGTGCACAAAAATGTCTATAGCTCCTGCCTTATTTCCAGAAGTTTCACCTAAGCTTTGCCGACAGAGCACAACGTCTTGAGCTCAGCACACTACAGCGCTTCTTTTACTCTGTCATACGGAGTGCAACCTTACAACCTGGAGTAACCTAAGGAAAAAGTCAGGGAATTCTTAATAGACATTCTGAAATTTCCAGCCGTGTGCCTGGGAGGGGACCAGCTGGCCCCGGGATTAGCAGGGCTCTTACCACACCCTGCCGAAGCGACCCACAGGCTACTGGATGTACACAGCACTTTCTATGGCTGAGCAGCTACAAAACTAAAATATAAAATGCAAGTAGCAGTTATCTGAATGAAGCAGAATTCAGCAATTTAACACAGGCAAAAAGCAAACAAGAGGGGGAAAAGCCCATCTGGGATTGACAGAAAAACTAGGCAGATCTCCTTTCAAATCTCTTGCACAAGCCACCACTTTCCACCTTGCTCTTTTCTTTCCTCTACCAAAGGCAGCACTTGGCCTAGTAAGAGAGAAGGCAGGGGATGTGAATTGTGTTTTTTTCGTAAGTAGACGGTTTAGTTTTGTCCCATACCTGTAGTTTCACACAAGTGGCATGCTGTGCCCAGCACACAGTGCAGCTCACATGCACAACATGCAGTCGCTCACCACCAGCAGCATGCACAGGCCAGCACTCCCATGCACCCCATCAGGCACTTACCTTAACATCGGGTGGTATTTGTCCCCAGTAGTGAGGCCGAGGAAGCGTGTGGGATGCTTCTGGTGCTCAACTCTTTACCACAGCAACACAAACAAAGCACTGTCATGCCACTCCACTCCACACTCCTCACCCACCCACTTAGGACTCTGCTACAGCTGACTCCACTAATTGCTCTCCATCCCCTTCTTCTCCCTGGTGCTGTCCCTTCCCCAACCAGAAGGATCGCTTTCCTGGGGGAGAGGCCATCTCCCGGGGAGTAGTACATCTCCATCCCTCTGTAAGACCTCAGCAGAGGACTGGGACTGCTCTGTGTACCGCTGGAGGTGAGCAAATCTCCCACCAGCTGCAATTTAAGCTTTTTCACATGCTGACAGGCACCATGCAATTCCGTAACTTCTAGCTACTGCACTTTGACAACTTTGGGAGTGGGCAGGCAGTGTCCTGCAACCAACCAAAGGAGAAGATTTCCAGTGCCCTAGCCCTGCCAGTACTCCTTGATTCTCAGTGTTAGAGTACATCTTGGGGAAATCTTATTCAAGTATCATTTAAAAAAAATTCTTTTATTAGACTTGTTTTTTTTCATGAGAAGATACACTGCAAACATAAAATAAGCAACACAAATTAACAAAGTTAAGTACAAAACAGAGTTAAAACATAAACAATAAAGGAAAATAATTTAGTTCAATGCAAAATAAATACAAACTATGAACAGATATCACTTAAAGAAGCACACAGACTATCATGGACAACACCATCAACTCCATGCTGACACAGACTGATCCCTGGAGCTGCTGTAGAGGGCAAGCACAACAGCAGCATGCAGGATGCTCATCTGTTGCCACCAGCACCATCTCAAGAGTCACCCCAACATGGTGCAGCATGAGCCTGCTGCTGGTACCAAGGTGCCTGAGCTGCTCACAGCTCTGCTAACCAGGGTCAGGCTTCTACATCTGACATCTCCATTTCAATTTATCCCCTTTTTCAATTAATATGATGGGATATAAAAGCAGATCAGTGCTGTAGTCCAATTAAAATTGGTATCATCCATCCCTGCCTTATTTTTTGAGATTTTCCCATGCTTTCTAAGCAGATGCTACGCTTTGCTTTCAGAATCCCTGGTGCACCACTACATGTAAAATGAACATATATGAGCCCAGTACTCACTAACTCCTTAAGCAACTCCAAGAATGCTGGAGCTCTCCTCTGCCTTCCCAGCAGCACCGGGAAGGTGGATGCATCCCCACTTCTGCTGGGAAGCATTTTGGGCCCTGCGTATCTAAGAATGTGTTAGGGCCCATTTTGGCATTAGTTCAAGCAATCTGTGGACTGCTCCAACTCATCCTGTGAAGGGATGACCCTAAGAGACCACACAGTTCCAGTGCCAATGCTCACCAGGTGCTGCATGGTGCAGATAGCCCAGATCCTGTCCAATAGAGAACTTCCTGGGCAAGTGCAGCTCAGTGGTGTTTGAGAACCTGCCTGAAAATGTGCCCCATCCCTGTTTGTTTTACAGGGCCTTTCTAGGTGTCAGCCCATCCCTGCTACCGTATGCCTGTTTAAAAGATGCTGTCTGTTGGTGCTGGAATATCAGCCTGGCTGAAATCACAGAAGGGCCCAAGCCCTCTCCCCAGAAATCCTTGCTGAGGTCGTGATTCAGTAACCACAGCATGTAGAAGGTAGTTTTATCTTCCTGAATTTGTATGCAGCTGGAATAAAAGGCAGTAAATGGATAGTAAGCATATCCTGAACTCCAAATAGGGCCTTTCATTCAGAAGTATCCCAAAGATGGTGCAAGCAGGGATCACTCACCCAGTGCAGGAGCAGTGTCCTCTGGGGCCAATGCAGTGGCCATCCTGTGCCAGCAGAACCACACAGCAGCGTTTTAAGGGTAGGAAGTGAAGAGTAACTTACCCACGAGAAATGAAGAATACTTATCTTTTGAAGTAGACCTGCATACCGAATGGATAACACAATGTACATGCAATACATGCAACCCGCCATTTCCTGAACTGAGCGTGCAGCATAAACCTATCCAGCCCACACACTGTACTGGTAGGGCACTCTGTGGGTACCAGGAACAGATGTAGTGCACACAAGCATGCAGAGTCCTGTCAGTACGTGCACTTACGCCCCAGGCATGCGGCTCCAAGCAGGGCTAGCCACTGACTGGTTACTGCACATAACAGGCAAGTTGTCAGTGCGCACTGGGTCCCCTCATGCTTCACGTATGTTCTGGTGCTTCCCACACCTATAGAATGCAAGAACCTTTTCCCAGTAGAGACAGTATTTGTTAATGATTTGAGTACTGGAACAAGCAAATTTTCTTTTTAAGTAAGACAACATCCAAAGATAAAAATAATCCTTTTTCCAGATGGCTTTTCTTGGTGCCAAATCTAAGAAGCTTTGGCATCCATTCCTACATCCTTCCCTTCTAACTGTCTGTTCCTGACACCCATTTCATCAGCATTTCAAGGTATCACCTTCTACTATCCACACTTCGTCTCACTGTATTTTCTAGCCATAATGGCTTAAACTTTTGGCTTTATTATATTGCAGGTCATGAATACTTTCCATTCCCTCAAATGCAGTTATCTATTTATGCAATTAAGTAGAGCTGTGAAAGTAAAAAAGTAGAAAAGCTGGTAAGTTTATGACAGTTCTATGACATTATCAAGGAGCCAGCTGAAAAGAGAGAAATGATGATATCAGGCAGCAATTCCTCCTACAGTCCTATCCCGTGAACTGTGTTCATGGTTAGTATTTGTAACACATCATGGTGACATACAACTGCACAAAATATACAGTTCTCCTGAGGAAGGCTAGACCCTCCTGATACATTTTACGTGCGTGACTTCATACTCATGAATTAGGAATAAGGACCGGGAGAGTCAGAGTGTGACTTGGACTTTGATCCAACAGCAGACAAAACAAGAGGACATGCAATTCTGAACAGCAAGGGCCAGTAACATTGGCCAAGGGATGCAGTCAAGGGTTGGGAATATAGGAAAGTGAGAGCAGGGGTAACAAGACATAGCTGGAGGAGAATACTGCTGAAAGCATCTGGGAGGGGACAGCCACATCGGCAGGATAGACAACGAGGCTATCGTAGCTGCATAATGCAAGGGAATAGATAAACATGGACAAAGCATGGGACTTGAGGTTTTACAGAGAACAGTAGCTTCACCACACTGAATTGGGATAAACATACAGGCCTGAGCCAAGGACAGTTCAGCATGAAATCACTAAGACGTACCAGAAAACTAAAGTAGAGCAAGTGCTACTCTGAGAATACTGTTTGAATCACTGCAAGAAGGAGTGCACTTCAGACATCAGACAGAAATTATATAAAACAAATATAAAATATAGGCTCTCCAGTAATATTCTTAGAAAACTCACCCTTCCATAAGAAACCATGGAAGGACACTGGCTTTACAGACACGAAGGAATTACGTGTGAGACTCTGTCTGCAAGGCTCCTGGATGAGAATGCAAACACCAACTGCTGCTACCTCATAGACTTGAAGCAGCTCCTGCTGACCAGCCCCCGCTTGCTGCCTCCTGCAGTTCTGTCTCATACAGCTAATAAAGCTGAGCCCTTCTGTCAATTCAGTTATTCACCTATGACTGAGAAAGGAAACAATCCTTGGTCTTCATTGACTTGCTGTCCTGTACAAGATGCTCCATTCATAATGTCTAAGGTTCTTTAAATGAAAGCTCATTAGAGAAGTTCTATTCTTCTATTCTTAACCCACAGTCCAATCCCCATGTAAGCCAAACACAGACCACCTTCTCTTTCACCTCATTCTTTCTGCAATGTGTTTAATTTACCACTTGGAAATATTCCCCAATTCCTTGGATACATTTCACAGTGCATCTCTCTTCTGTACCTGATATCTTCTACTACTCTAAATTTAAAGTAAATTTCCGGAGTCTCTTAGTCTCACTGCATACTTGCATTTCCCCTAAAAGTTACCAGGAGGGCTCCTTTTCCTATTAAATATTTCACTTCTTACGAACTGTAACAATGAAAGATAAAATACAAGCTGTAGTTTACCATATCCAAACATAGGTTGCAAGCAGCTATGATGTGCCTCTACAAATCATGCCAGAGCATATGCTGCAGTGGCCAACTACTACTTGAGGAAGGAGGTAGGGCAAAGAAAACACAGGTAAGAGATATCTCATAGACTCCAATATGTAGCCAAAAGTCTTTGCGTTTGCATTTTTGGCTCCCCATGGCAGCTGCTGGTTTCACCTGGGAGCTGCCAGGTCCTATCACTCTTCTCTCATATTCCACTGATGGAAGAGCAAAGCAGGAACTTTTTCATCTTATTCAGGAACAGAGCTTTCTCGGCCCAGGAACACAACAACTAACAGCATGAGATGTCAAATGATTCAGACAGAAGTTATGACAATTCCAAACAAACGCTATATCCAATATCTGGCAACATTCTTAAAACACAGAAATTGAACTCCGGCACTCTCAAAAGCCCTGTGCGTGCCTTTTGTTCACAAACAAGTGCAAGTTGGGAATAAAGTGTAGAGATGTGCTCAATACTAGGTCAGTGCCTCAATACTGAGTTAGAAAATTTAACACCAGTTTACTTAAGAGAGATAATTCCTTCCTTGGAATAGTGTGATTTTTAAAAGTTCAAAATCAAGTCAGAATATTACGGCCCAGGTTTATCACTTGAAGTTACCTGCTGAGGCCAGTATCCCCATAATCCCTGTTATTGCTGAGTAACCACTGCTGTTTTGGAGAGAGAACTCAGGATGCTGCAAGGTGCAACAAAGAAAAATAAAAACAAACACTCTTGTTTCCCCTTCCATTAAATGGCCACCAGCACAAGTTAGGAAGAAATTGGTAGCTTCCTCTATGAGACAACAACACCAGTGGTTTCCCTAAACGTACTCATTAAAATATATTTTCCTTCCACTCTTGGCCCTGAAGGATCATCTCAGCTTACAAGAACTAAGCTTCTGTCTGATTATTAAATCATTTCTAAAGCAGATGGGAAACTACTGTGGTTTAAACAGCTAGGCTGAGACTGCATAGCTAAAAATAGTATAGCAGGCTCCTTTTAATTAGTAAGATGATCAGATATGACAGAAGAGAGAGATGTAGATATATGGATTTGTGTGTGTGTATGTCTTTAAAATTAAGTTATTACCTCAGTAACAAGTATTATTTATAACATATATGATACATGATATCTGATTTTTATGATGTCATTTATCTTCACTTGGGCAAGAAGACAGGCTAACTCTGCTTTCATAATGTCAATCCTTGCTATATTCGAAAGGAAAATTGTAATAAGATAAACCTGCCACCGTGTGCAGTGCCATCATTTTTTAAATGAGGTGGATTAGTAAGTGCTCTGGTGCAACAGACTGTCAGATCTGCAATGCGTTGCCCAGAGCGAGTGCGGCTCCCCGAGGCCGACCGCGTCCCTTGGTGCACGCAGAAGAGCCAGTCCAGCTTTGCACCTCTGCCTCCACAGCCGGGAGCCAAGCATAAGGCTGAACTGGACACGGACTGCTATGTCTGCCCTACTGCTGTGCTGCCCATGTACTTTTGAGGACTCCTCAAAGCTTGAATGGTGCATCTGGGAGTAGAATTTGCTACTCAGTGTAAATATATCGGCATAGTTTATTTAAAATAAATAAATAAATAAAAAAATCTCGCCTGTTCCTCTTTCTGGCAAACTCTTACAAAGTAGTAAATATGCAGATGGGCACAGTGATATATTTTGTATCAACATGCTTCAAATGTGTGCATATGCATTAGCTATATAAATACATTCCTCAGGAAGCCTGCCAGACATATACTACAAAGCTCTGCATTTAGTTTGTTCAGAAAGTACCCCTCCAGGTTTATCTGCTGTATGATAGCTCACACTTACCTGCAGTTTCCTCTTTTCTATCTGGATGTACAAATGTTTCATATTTATACAGTGTGTGTACATATATAGCATGCATATATATTAATGTACACAAACACACAAGTAAAAGCATATGTACTGTATATACACAGTCCAACATCTTTGTTATAAAGCTGAATATCACAGCGGTATGCCAAAACTGTACGGCATATCAAATCAAAACATACTTGATACTAAACAACACCAGAACAACTTGTTGATATACCTTCAGTGCTAGCTCCCTGCTGCCCCATGAACACTGCTGATCCCATCCTGCACACTTCCTCTGCCTCTGCCAGCCCTTCCCACCAAGCCAGCTGTGCTACTGCAAGAGGGGGGCACCCCAGGATACATGCACAACACTGGGAGAAGAAGAAAGCCAAGAATTGCCCTCTTTCTCTAGAAAATCTTTAGGGCCCAAGTAGCTGAAGATCAGAGATTGATGAAGGATGAGAGGAGAAGACCTCTGCCCACTGCCCTTGAGGTCTCACCATCCCATTATCTGAGAGGTTTCAAAGTGTCATGTTTTTTGCTGTTACTGCACTCCTTTTCAGGTGATAGTACTATGAGCAAGTCAGAGGGTATCATCCATCACTACTTACATGAGTACTGACACACGGGGGCAACAGAGGGAGCAGCTGCAGTGTAGTGGATGGCTACGTATATATATATACATATGGCAGCACGAATCATGCATGGAGGTCAGTATGGATACAGCTGAAATGGTGGGTGCTACTAGAATCATGCTTTTCTGATCCTTTGCACAAGGAAAAGCCAGGAAACATTCTGTAGTGGGCACACAGCAAAAAGACATCCATACGTTTAATTCTGGACACAAAACAGTTTGCTTTTGCAGTGATGATTAGCTGGAATGAGCGCTGCGATGGAATTCTGCTCCCCACCCACCCCGTTTTCAGAGCTGCTATTTAGATGAGCTACGGTACTAAAAGAGAAGCTGTAAAGATGCTATCTGCAAACATAAAGTTGAAATAAAAAGATAAACATCCGCATTCCCCCCAATGAAAAATGGAGTTCTGAAGAAAGGGAGGAGGGAGAAGAAAAAGAACTTACCATGCTGCGAGTGAACTTTTCTAGAGAAGTTCTACGACCTTGCTCATTCTCTGGCTTAACGGGGAATAAAGTGGGGAGAAAAAAATACAGAAAAAAAACCCTTCAGCTTAAATGCAGTTTTTCAAAACAGCAGCAAAATATAAGGAAGCAGCAAGGGGAAAAAATCGTAAAAAAAATTGTAAAAAGCAGAAATCAATGTTTGCAACAGCAAACATGAGAAACCAAAACCCCGTACAGAATGAGAAACATCAGTACTTCTACTCTTGGAGAATGTCACCTTTCCTCCCGTGAGTTTTTTGAATGGATCAAACAGCATCTGTGCATTGCTGTGTCTCACAGCTATTGGTATTGATTTCATGTTCATTGAATTTTCCTTCTGTAGCTGTTTGAGCTGGGACCTCTGATTCTGGTTAACATCTGCCAAACAGCTGATTGGAGACTGCTGTCTACTTACTTCAAGAGATGAAAAAACACAGCAACTTTTACAACATTAAAAAACAGTGTGTGAGTGAATACAGTGCTGGAAGGAAAATCCTATCGAACTCATTGCCAGGGAACTATGTACTCCTCTACTTATCCAGAGGACACAAGGAGATTTCCAGTACGGTTGGCTACGTCAAGACATGAGACAGCCTTCACATGTCAATGCAAGGCCATGTAAAGACACAAGCCAATTTGGGGCACTGGCATTTTTCTATCTGAGTCCAGAACTATTGATATGCAAGAAGACATTCAACTTCACTGCAAGAAGACAAGTGTATGTATCATGGCTCTGTTAATGTATCCATGAGAACTCTGCTCACCGTCACATTTCAATTCATTTGACAACAAGGAGATCTAACTGTCATTAAAAAGAAACTAAATAATTTATTGTCATGTATGTTGGCATATACAGTAGAAAAAAATTGTTATGGAGCTGAGAAAAAACTCAATAATACGAAGCAAAGCTCACTACAGTCAGAAAACAGTGAGCATTGGTGATTTCCAGGAGAGAAAATAATTTCAGTATGGTGAGTCGGTGAAATGGAGATAATGAGATGGAAGTAAAATGGCAGTGAAGGGGATAAGAAGCTGTTTTTGAGAGAAAGCCACAGCAATGAAGGTGCATAATACTGCATTGGAAATAAGCATTGCACTGGAGCTCCTCATCAGATGATGTATTAAAATGTCGGAGAGTGGCAGCTCATTACACCTTGCCTCTGAGACCTAAAGCAAGGGATGGGTGGGAAGGGAACAACAAGAACAACAGCAAAATAGAGTGAGGGGGTCCCCTGGGAAGAACTTCCACAGAGACCTCTGACAGAGAGTTAGAAGAAATGCCAGCAGGAAACACATTTTCAGCAATGCTCTTACTGTGATCAAGCTCAGCTTTTCTCGTAGATGCATCACATTTGGGCTGCTCCATGTTGTGGCCATGGTGCTGTGAGGATAGGGACATCAGTTCTCATCCTATGTGACAGATATCACCTCAGCCAGTGTTGAGAACAGAGTCAAGGCACACATCGGGTGACAAGACAGGCTCTGTGGCTGATGGGGAAGCAGGGACATACCCTGGCTGCCACCAGGACAAATCCACAATTTCACCCAGGGAAATAAACACCTTGACAAAAGACAGTGCTCTGCTAGGCTCCATGGAGCAAGGTACTTGAAGTCTGCAGCATCACATTGCTACAGGCTGGAAAACTGGCCGTTTAAGCTGAAGCATTGGAATGCACTGGCGACAAAGGAGATCAAGCTGCTGAACCTGGTCTGCACAGTCTCCCTGTACCTACTGCCAAAATGCAGTGTCTTTGTTCTTACTTCAATCACAGTGATGCAGCTTCCGGCCTTGCACAAATGCAGGTTGGTGGTCTCCAAGGATGCTGAGCACCTCACTGTGTGCCAAGAGCTCATTTAGCACAGGTCACTGCATGTGAGGCCATTTTCCTACCACAGCTGAGGACATTGTGGGGAAGCAGGCACAGGTCACCCCAAAGCACAGATGTGCCCCACAGAAATGCCTTGCAAGCACAGGCTGCAGCAACGCCGCGCCTTGGCATGGGGACAGGAGGCTGGGACCAGCTGAGTGGAACAATCATTCCCATAGCATCCAGCTCTGAGTCAAAGTGTGACATTCTCTAATAAAATAAAAAGCAGCTGAGGCTGGCTGGCTACAGAGCGATGAGCTGGCACGAGTAGATTTCCTGGCAGTGAGCAAGGGTGCTGGTGCATGGCTCCCCAGCTTCCCCTGCCTGCATCCCACCAGCAAAGGAAAGGAATAATAAACAAAAAATAATGAAAAAAAAAAAAAAATCAAGAAAAGAGACAGGCATTTCTGTATCCCGTGAACACATCTTGGGTCCAGCCCAGAAAGTGCTGGATGAGACTATGGACTACAGAGGTACAGCACAATGGCAGCACTTGCACAAACACACACTGCTACTGCAAAGTGCCACATGCACAAGCCAGGTCAGGCAGTCCTTGTAGGTGCAGAAAGGAAGTGAGCTATCCTTGCCGTAAACACAGCAGCTAACAACAAAGGACATGAGTATTTGGATAAAGTGTGAAACCATCACCCCTGCTGTAGATGAACACGTCAGGCCAGGTGGGTGCTGAAAAACAGATCTTGTCAATTAGCCATTCACTAATTATTGACAATTTCCTCTGAGTTTCTCTTTTTCCACAATTATTTATCTAACCATCCTGATTTTAAGTTCCTTTGTGTGGATTCTGCTGGCATAGAATTGCGTAAGTAGAAAATCTTACGAAAACCAGCTGACACTAATTATTAAAAGTAATTAGGAGAAAATTGCTCAGCATCTTTATAGCATTCAAGCCAGTCCTGCCACTGAATCACACTGGTCATATGCACACTGATGGGACCAAGCAAGGATGGCATCTGCAGTGGGAAGCAATACAGAGAATTGGGACAGCGGCTCCAGATAAAAGCAATGCTTCAAAAAGCGTACGCTAAAAAGGCAGCCTGCCCTTCCTGGCATGAAGCTCCCAGCTACCACCTTGCTGACATTTTTGCCAGGGACTTGAAAAGGAATCAGAAAATGCATTGCAGGTCTGCAAAATTCCTTCCTTCCCTCCCAGGATTCATTTTGTTGGCTACTGAAGGAGAAAACCATGTGTTGCAGAGGGATGCTGCTGCACGAAAATGAAGGGTAATCACTTCCCTGACATCAGCTCAGGAAAAGGCTAGAAGCATGTCCCCAGCTTCTCAGGCAGCCATTTGTAACTGTCCAATGGGAAAAAGCAAGAGCCACGGACAACGCTACCATATGACTGAAAAAGTACTTCGCATCTTTTTTTTCTGAACACAATGAGCTCACCTTTTGGTGCCAGCTGATGAGGGCAGTCCTGCACAAAACCCTGCAACACCAGTCTGCGCCTGCCGTGGTGCAGAGCTCATTCCTGCAGCTCTGCAGCCCCTGTGGGACACTCCTGTGCCTGTGGGAAGCCACCACGTGCCCGACAGGAACATGGGAGCTGTAGCAGTTCGGCCACCGGTCAAGCTGGCAGTCAGGTGGAAATGCCCACCAGAATCACTGCTTCACCTTCTTTTTGTGCACAGTAATGGAAAGCACCTTGAGGTCTTTCCTGCTCCTTTCACAGAATCAACCAAGTTGGAAAAGACCTTCAAGACTGTGAGGCCTCGCAATCAGCCCCATGCCCTCTGCCTTGCTCACTATGAAGCCAGCATGGAGATGGTGAATGGGGGCCGGGCCAGGCCCTCAGCCCTTTCTCCTCCCCAGTGTGCTACTTCCAATCAAACCCATGCCAGAGGCTGACCTCCTGCTCCCTGCTGAGCTCCATGAATCTGCAGGATGGAGGCCAATAGTATTGTGGTTTTAATAATGACATTGTGAAGAACAGAGGGGAAAAAAAATCCAAAACAAAATAACAAACAATGTATGCCTGGTCTGTATGCAGCCTATGTCCTCCACTACCACGCATCAGTTGTGCAGTGTATCTCAGTCCTGGCCTGGAACTTCTCTCATATCTCTCCCTTTCATTACTGCACTCTCAGAGCAGGGAGTGGAAGCTCGCATGTATGTGGTTATTGTACAGTGTGGAACTTATAGTGTTTTCCAAACTCCAAATCCCAGCATCCCAACAATGTCACGCATCTTTTGAGGCACTAAGGAAGCCTTGAGATGTCTCCACTGAGCAGGTAGCTCTTATTCTTACATTTGACAGAGAATAGAATATGAAGCAGAGTAAAGCTGAACTTTCTTTTCCTCCCAAGACCACGCAAGAATGTAAATGGGGGGAACTAAAGGATACACATGGATTTTGTGGTTCCCAGTCCTGTGCTTTAGCCACACAGCAGTCTTTCCCCTTGTCCTGCCATCTCAGATTACCACGACCCAGTGCTGCAGGGCTGAAAATGCCAGAAGACATAAACACACCCGTGAAATATTCATGCGTGAATATAAGCCATAGGCATTCATGTACTCCGTGCATACAACTCTCTTTGCCCAAGTCCAGTTGGAACAGTGCTGTTCTTCCAAAAAAATGTATTTTCTGTAATGTAAGTAATATTGGTATTGTATAGAGGCAGCATTAGGACACTGTCTGGTGGATAAGACATATTCATGCTCCTGACATACCTCATCAAGCCTTTAACAATTGCAGTGAATTTCTGCTCACATCAGTAAAGCCAGGACTTTGTGTGCAGGCTCTAAACCAAATCCTCCACCCATGCAGGCTTCGACAGCTATGTTTCCTTCCTTCTGATTTCCAGACATTTACAGGAATTTTAAATGGATGCCTCTCAAACCTGCACCAAAAGCACTGACGCTCTTACCGTGCAGCTCAATGCACAGAAACTTCATGTTCTTTCTGTCAGCATTTGTGTACCTATGCTGCCTTGGAAATGTTCACTCGCTCAACACAATGCGGCATGATTGCTAAGAGCTAGGCAGATTCTGGAGTAACATCAATTCCCATCTTGCACAGTGTGAAGCAGGTGAGCAATGCATCTACACAGAACTACATACCACTGCCTTTTTTGCACCTATGTTTACTTGTGCACCCACAGCTCTTTCTAACAGAAACTTGATTCTTACTTTCACGGCTGTGTTAACATGACACCAAGGCCTGCTCCTCCGGCAGTTTGCGGGGGGGATGAGGATGTCATGCTGACACATCCAGGCCTTGATCTGACAGCAAACAAGGACTGCAGAAAAAAGCCTCTGGTTTGAATGGGCTCAGCTGGGAGGAGAAAACCCTTCTGCTTTGAAGCAGATGAACCCTCATGTGTTCAGCGGAGGGAGGATGGGAACGACATGCCAAAAGCTGATAGAGAAGAGGATGGCAAAGGTTTTTATGCTTTATACTATCAGAGGACTTTGCATAGCACTTCCTTCTTTCCCCACCACCTCTGAACTCTAAGAAGACCTAACCTTTTCAAATATAAGCAGCGCTGCACAGTGCTGTCTCAAATCAGACATTCTGAAACAAAGGGCTGACTGCTGCCCTCCATTACCGGCCCCATGCCACCTGCCTGCAGTCCCAGGCATAGCGGACAGAGGGGTTTGTCTCCTTCTGTCACACTGCGCATGCTTTTAGGATACACAGTGACAATCAGGACAAAAATACCACTGGGATTTCATGGTATTGTGCCAGTGCAACATAATTTGGCAGCACACAGAGAATGCAGCAGAAAAACAACAGGGAAGATGGTAATGAGAAAACCCACGCTCAGGCTGTAGGAGCCAGTTTATGAGTGGTCCTGGAAGTCAAACAGAAGAGAGACATACAAATGTTAATATGCATGCACACGAACACACATGGACACACAGACTTACAGGAGTCAGGAGATGCAGGAAGCATCTGAATACAGCTACTGGTGCAGAGAGCTGTAGATTACCTCCCAGCCCCTTGGAAAGGATGGGCATTTGGGCAGGAACTGCCACACACCAGGTAACCACTCCTTCATTACCTTGAACTGGGGGTTCCTGGCAGAAATGCCGTGCTGGCAAAGCACACGTGGGTGCCAGCAATGCTAAAGAGCTCAAAATCAGCTGACCTGTAAAAAATGTGGCTGAAATCCTTAATTGTTGCATGGGTTGCAATTATTTCCTGTCTCCAAGGAAAAAAGAACTATCTTTTTTATGGCCAGAGCAAGGGAAAACGAGAATGGAAATCACTACAGGGCAGTCTAGAGGTAAGGCATCCAAAGGAAAGATCACCTGGTGAGACTGAGGAGGTGAAAATCAGAATGGGTGAAATTTGCAAGACCAATTAATAGATTGATGAGTTCTGCTTCTCATACAGACACCATCTACAGAAAAGGCATTGCAGTTTTAATTGCCTGCACTGCATTTGGGAGGCTGTTGTGCAAGACAAGCAAATTTCTGGGTGTTGTTTTTTGTTTTTGTTTTTTTTGTCTTGGGCCATCCTACTATCCCAAAAACATGTGTTGAGGTTGTGCATACGGATGCCATACTCTGTGCCCCTCGTGAAGAAAACAAAAGTTCTTATTAAATAAAATGTTTTAAAAAAGGAAACAATATTTTCATTTTCACACTAGCAGCAAGCAGCAGGCGAGAATCAAGAGGTGCAAATAGATGCAAGCATGTCCTTTCCAACAGATACCTTCTTCTTTGCCAGCAATAAGTCCTGGTAAGCATTTGAACGGAGGAAGCGCGCATAGCTGTCACTCTTCATCAGCTTGTAAATGTGCTCCTGCGGGACAGGAGGAAATGAGAGACAGAGAATTGTTATCAAACCTCATTTAGACATCACAGAGATTTAAAACACAGTGAATTAGAAGGACGAGAGACTGATCAAAGTCCTAATTAAGTCTGCTATTATCGATTATGTGTGTTGTGCTGGCATACAGGAGGTCCATCCTGGGGCAGGACCCTGCTGTGCTTGGGGCTGCATAAACACAAAGCAAAAAGATGGCCCTCACCCCAAAGGCTGGCACATATTATTCAGTAATCAGTGTTATTCTATAATGACTACAGCTCTCAGAAATCCCCAGATCATGAGCAAGTGGCTATCCAGGCTGAAACTACTGAGATGTCTCAGGAAAGAAGAAATAAATGCCAGAATTTGTCCCATGGATTAGGTTTCATTGTACTACTCATAGATACTTGCACTATCACTCCACCCCCTCATTATAGTTCATGAAGGAGAACCTATACTTGAACACATTTCATTTCCACTTAAACATATGCCTAGAACAAACAAACGTATTCACATCCTGAAAAAGCCTTTATGTCTGACTGACTACTCATTAAATTTATTGGGCAAATGCACGCATTTGCATTGTATGTATAAAGTTATGTCAGATGAGTCCCACCCACAGGACTCTTTGACTCCTATTGAGCCAAACTGCTGGTATTAGTTTGCTTGGAGTACATCCCCCACCTATGTGCATCTTCAGATTTACAAAAGAGTGTTCCACTGCAGCAGAACCTATTCCTTTCCATTGCCTTGCTTAGTTTTACTTACTGAAGAAAATTCCTTAATTCTGTCAGCTCTTCTCCTAATTGTCTAATTTTCCTTTGATTTGTAAATGGATATTATCCCAAACATCAAGAAAATCACATCAAAATAATTCGACCCAATAAGAACTAAGATTACATTAAAGGAATTCAAAAGAAAAACAGGCACTCTAGACATTTATCTTAGAATTTGCCTATGGAAGCGTTCTTACAGAGTTAATGAACAGTTTTATCTACACTGATTTATACAACACAAAATATTTTCTCCTGCCCTACAGCCACTGCAGTTGAAATTTCAGAACAAGCAACCCAGACACAAGTCACAGAGTTTATTTCACAGTGCTAACGAGCCAAGCAAAATTCCCTTATCTTCACCATCACAGCCAATCAGAGATGACCTGTCTGTATAGAGAACTGCCTCATTCAGCTTTCTTGTGCTATTCAGTGCACAGTTCTAAGAGGGGCATAACTACCACTGGTTTTTACTGAGATGCACAATAAAATGCACCCTTTGAGCTACAACCTGGCGTGGAGCACTTTTTACCAGTTAATTTCATTTCCACAGTTGCTTTCAGACCTGTCAAACCCTTACTTGTGTGGCATTATCTATCTGAAGTACAGCACAAGATGTTGCAATGGAAATGGTCGTATACAGTCATCTAGCAAGCATGACCCCTTCTCACTGCAGGAAAAAAACAGAAGTGAGGGCACAACTCCATGCTGATCACCTACGGCACTGCCAAGGATTTCCCATCCAGCTGTGGGAAACTGCTTTTTACTCAGGGCAGAACAATCCACGCATGATCTGAGCTGAGGACAGGGAAAATAATGCACGTCATGGGTATGGTCACTGGCAAGTTTGTATTTCTCTGGAATGAATTATGATTTTCAGCATGAAATCACTCTCAAACACCTCAATAGAAACAATTCAATAGGAATAGAAATAGAAATTAACTTGAGTTAATTTAAATCAACCACATGGCAACCAGTTCAGCCATACTGTTATCTCTTAAATTCTCAGAAGGAGACTCTATCTCCTACTAATACATTCTTCATAATTAAGTGGAGAAAAATAACCCTAACTGTATATCTAGAAGACTTTTCCTTCTTCCCCATAATTGTGGGGCAGCTGATGAGTACCTGGGGCAGGCACTCTGCAGCCCATCAGCAGCAACAGGTCAGAGGGGTCTCTCAGAACCTCTCTCTTGCTGTGATCATCCCTCAGTGCACCCATAAGGCAGGACGCTGGAGGGAACAGTGCAGAGCTGGGAAGGAAGGGGCCGCAAGGCTGAAGGCACAGCAGTGGGCAACAGAACATCTTGGTTGACATTTTGATAGACAGCTAATTAAATTGTTGACTACCTTTGGATTCCAAATGGTTTCTTAAATGGTCAGATAACAGGGTCTGCTCTGAAAGGCAAAGATAACATTTTTGGAAATCAGTGTTCAATTTTCATTGCCACACAAGCAGATCACATTAGCTGCTTGCACATAAAAGAAGAACAAAGCAGAGCAGAAACTGCTGGCTATACAACCCTCCAGCATGCCGACAACAACTATCAGTCTTGCTCATGTCAAGATGACTTCAGGTATTTGACCTTAAAACAGTATAAACTCAATATCTGACTGCTGAAAGGGGAAAAAATTACTTTGACCCTGAAATGAAATAGACCACAAGCCAATGTCTTAGCTAAGGCCACTCTCTGAAGAAGTGGACTACAGCACACTCATCCCCACTGCCACCCTGGGAAGGTAGCTGGTGTGCAGGATTTTCTCTGCTTTTCACATCCTGGAATCACTGAGCAGCAACCCCGCTACCTTTCAGCTGTTCACCAGCGACACAATCAAAGAGGGAATTCTTAGGCTTTGAATGCTAATGAAGAAAGAAGGCTGGGCATAGGGAAAGGGAGGGACATGCTTCAGATGCAAACTTTACGGCTTAATTGCAAGAATTCAAAGGGCTTGCTTTGAAGAAGTACTGGAGGCACAAATGATGCACTGATCATTTATTTTATAGCGCTTCACTTTTGAAGCACCTAGAGAAAATCTGAGCCAGCTGCTCAGGTCAGCAAAGACTGCCTTCCAATTTGCAACAGTCCAGGACAGCTTACATTGCTGCAGCTAACTCCCTGCTGAGACTGCACCACAAAGCTTCCTGTAGAACTGTGGCTGCAGTCCACATTCAGCTCAGTTACACAACAAACCTAGCTGCAGGACAGGAAATGCTGGTGCCTGGGACATTTGCTCTGATCCTTAGCCTAGTCCATTCTTTGTCACCAAGCTGTTTGCTGCTATACCTTCTGCAATCTGCAACTTTCTAGGGAGAATTTATAGCTAGCATTTAGCAGCTCCTAATTTCTTAAATAAATTGAAAACTACTTGAGGTTGAGCAACTGAGCATAATCTTTTAAGGCAGCCTGAGCAACGGGCATATTAGCAGAGGTGCGTGCACAGATTTAGCTGCCCTGTGCAACATGTGCAAATTGGCTTGTTCCCTTGCATCACAGATTTTTAGCTCACCTGGGATCACTGCAACCCGCTGGTCTCTCACTTTCTAATTTACTGAGCAGCTGCTTTCATTCCTTAACACGTGGTAGAGAGGGAGCATAACTTCACCAAAGACTGCAGCCAGCATCTTCAGTGGTGCACCTGTAAGTACACATGCTCCAGGACATACCTGAGGCTGCTGGCAATAAATTCAAGCCCTCTTATCCTTTTACTAAGAGAACTTTGCATTTTATAAACTTGCTTTTTGCAATGGAATGAGCTCATTATTACTGACTCCCTGATTACACAAAGCAAATTCACTATTTGTCTGATTTTTAACAATTCCCTCACAGGACTCCTGCAAACAGAGTGGGCTTACTGCTGACCATCCTCAGTTGTGCTCCTGCAGTCCTGAACTAAGATGCCATCCCTCTTGCTACTACCATTGCATGACAAACAGTAAATTTCAAAGGGCAAAAGGCTCTCACTTTTGTGAATTAGTGAACAAAGGAACCAGACACGTAAACCACAGAAAATTCCTCTTCTATGGCGTTACATGTAACCTCAGCTTCAGCAGAAGCGTAGGGAAATAAATGCTGATAAGCTCCAGCATCTTTTGGCTTGTTTCCATTTACAAGCCCTATCTCTGGAAGGAGATGAAAGACAAGCTCTGTAAATTTTCTTGACAAAAGGGGAATGGGAAAAAAATAGAAGAAAGTGCAATCCAGACGGGAATGTGGGAGGTGGCTGAGATAGCAGAAACACCTCAAAGCTGCCCTTGCTTCAAACCAACGTGCTGCAACGTGACCGGGGCCCTCTTCCCCCACAGGCAAAGCACAGCGACCCTGAGGAGAGTGCGTAGCAGCCAAGCAGGACCTTGGGAAGTATGTGGGAAAAAACCAAATGACAGAAAAATAACAAAGCAAACTTGCTTGCACAGAGCACCTGGTAGGCCTCTGGAAGCCTGTTATCTGTTGAGAACATTTATTTTCAGCAGAATATCTTGGTTCCTTTCTCTGAAATATGCATGTGATAAAATAGCCGTGTAGGTAGTTAAACACAGCCATTGCTAGTCTCACCTCTTAGCCATTGTGATATTTTGTGACAGGTCTGAAGCAGGTTTTGCAGTTGTGAAGGCCAAGCACAATTTTCTCATGACCTCTGAATACCAGCTTGATTCCAGCAAGCCCTTAAACTTTAACTTGCTGAGGGAAAGTTTTCTCTGCTTGTGCCTGAGCACAGTTGTACACTTGGGTGGTGAGGAGGATGAGGGGGAAATATCTGATTCTTTGCTCGCCTCAAGCCCAGGCTTCCCACTAAGCACACTTGTAGCCCATACTGGGTTTTTACATCATATAGACACTGGATAGCCAGACAGCTGTTGAGAGTCACCTGAGCCCCAGTGCTCCACTTCGCCATTCACAAACAGGTTGGGAGCCGCTTGCTGTAGCTATCCCACTTGCAGCCCTTCACCCTGCCACCAAGACCTGGCGTTATAATAAGGCATTTACAGACACCTTTTTATGCTGCAAGCAGGCGAACGCAGCAGCTGCCCCTGGAGCCAGCTCAAGGGATATGTGCAGCATGTCAGACAAATCCATTTGAACACAAGCCCCAAAGCAATATAAAGCAGCAGAGAAAACAACTAAATAAACAACAGCAAACCATCACAAATGTTCTACCTTTGCACTGGGGGAAACTGTTCTGCAGATTCACGCATGAGAGAGCAGAGCCTTATTGAACGCC